AGACATGCCCTGAGTATTGGTCTGAACCGTGTGCAAAGACCAATATTGGTCTGCCCTCTGCCTCATAATGCTACTACAGAAACACTCCATGTACTCACGTAGTTTCCACTGGTTTCAACTATGGTTCCAGTGAGTTTCTTAAGAGCATATTTGAAGGTATCATTTTCACTTTCTCATTTTAGTTCTGATTCCTTCAACACTGGACTCGAGAATCTCCCATATGAAAGGAATTAATAATAGAGTAAATGTCCATGCCCGAGTCAGGCCCCATGACACTAAGATTTCCCAGGTGGGGGGAGGCAGTGAAAGCACTGCAGCCATCCTGAGCCACCCCTGGGTGGAGGGCTGCTTACAGCACTGCTCCAGCTGGGAATGAGCGCTGGGGAGGACGCTGTCCAGAGGAGGAGGACAAAACTTTCTGGAAACCACTTCTGTCCCAATTTGCAGTGAGGCCTCTATGGCCCTGCCCAGGCCTGAGTCCACTGTTTCCACAGGTGAAGCGTCAGGACCTAGCATGAACATCTTGGGTTCCGTCCTGGGTAACAGAGCCATAGTGAAGAAGGAGCTGCTGTCGGTGGTGGCTGGAGGAGACACATACCGGGTCAATAACAAGAATGATGACAAGTATGAGCCACTGCCACCCAACGAAATAGTCCAGCAGGCAGAGAAAATGGTGGGGAAATGCATGCCCTATTCATTGACCAACAGCAACTGTGAGCACTTTGCGAACAAGCTGCACTACGGAGTTTCTTTCAGCAACCAGGTGTGTCCTCAGCCTGTGTCCCCTTCCCTGGGACCATACCATTCCCCAGCTGACAGGGGCTGGGCACCTGCTGAGGGCTGGCAGTGCAACCTGACTTGGAGATTGCCCATGAGCAAGGGTCAGGGAAGCTGGCAGAGTGAGCTCCTGGTCCAGGAGCAGGGGACCCTGGTCATGTTGGGCCCATTTTTCCTGCACAGGGTCAACAGGAAACACTTCAGCTTTTATGGGCCAGCTCGTCTCTCTCCTTAATCTGCCAGGGTCACTCTGTAGCCTGAGAGCAGCCATAGACTCTGTAAACCTACAGGCGAAGCTGTGTTCCAACAGAGCTTGATTGTTTACATTTATTTACTTTTGTAGAAATAGGTGACAGGCGAGATTTGACCAATGGGACATTGGGTAACAAGTCTTGGTTTAAAAGAACTTGAAGTACTGGGGCTGTAGCTTAGTGGCAGGGCACTTGCCTGGTGTGCATGAGACCCCGAGTTCTATTGCCAACACCACACACACACACACACACACACACACACACACACACACACACACACACACAAATAAACTACGAAACATTACATTATACATTTTTAGGT